TATATATATATATATATATAACGCCAGTGCGCTTATAGCCTTGGCTCCAAACTTGTTTGCTACCCAGATATCCTATCATTTTTACCATAACTGACCTAAATAAAATAGTGCTTCGATCGGACAGAAAGGATTCCTCTTCTCTGCGTGGCCTGGAGGGACGGGTCTGCACATGAACACACTCACTCACGCACGAGACAGTAGTTCTCCTCTATGCAGAAAGCCTCATTCGTCGCCGCGCTCCTCCAATCGCTGGATGAGTCACTATTCACAGGACTTGACGTGTTTCCGTGTGATGCTGCTTCCATTCCCGTCTCTCGCTCACCCCGAGCGAGGAGGAGATCCCCGCCTGGACCGCGAATGAGGAGCAAATGAAGAGACGCCTGAAATGGACGCTTGAACTTCAGATAATGCTCGATCCGAAGGAACCCCTGGCACTTTGCGTAACAGCTCAGTGACATCAGAGAAAGCATGCAAGGCAGGCTAGCGGACGACTGGGTTCCCTCTCCTCCGAAAGGGACTTCGTTTTTCATCGAGAATCTGCTGAGCGAGGGGAGAAGGGAATCGGTTTGGGCCGGAGTGGCGCATCACACCGATAACAGAACCTCTGTGCCGGACCGCTGCAGCGCCACATCCCTCTGCTCTGATAGACACCTGCCGCTGCATTTAAGCTGCAGCGGGACAGTGATGAGCATTAGAGCTTTGGGACCATGCAGTAAGTAAAAATAAGATCAATATAATTAAATAAATCTGAATTTTATTACTAGATATGCGCTGCGTAAAGGTGTAAAACCAAAGCTTTTCAATAATATAACATAATACCTTTATTTATGAAAAGGGCATTTATATTCCTATAGTTTTATGCTTAATGCTTGTCTTTTAAATATAAAATTTTTCTTTGCAGATTTTGTCTAAAATCTGCGTAATAGGCCAATAATTTGATATTGCATGTTTTATTGCACGTCCTTCACATAAAATATTTGCAGCTTCCTGATTTTCTCTCACCGTGTTTGCCTTAGCAGCTTTAAAACTTAACATTCTCTCGGTTTTAACAATACAAAAAAAATGTATTAAAAAATTAAAGCGGAAACAGTTTTTCTTTTACAAATCGCCATGTTCCCAGCTGATATTCCTCTTGAGAATTATATTTTTTTCAAATCAGAGGATTACATGAGTGGATTACGCATTGCAACCTTAGATAACCGCCCGGCAATGTGACACTCTTACGCACATTGGGTGACATTTGTGCCACTGGCATCATCACATCACAACTCAGCGTCCCTCCCTCTGATGTGCCCATGCAGTGACTTTGACACAATTACTAGCTTCACACTTATGTCATCTCACTCGTGCATATTTAAAAATCAACAAATAAAATCATATTTAATTGGAATACTATCGCACTAAACTGAAGGCCTGCCTGTCCATCTGTATCCATCAGCATCAAATATGCGACCAAGGTGTTGGTTTGTGCTCTGTTGTTGTCATGTCTGTACAACATAAGGAGCCTTGGGCTGCAGGAATTCTCCAGAGGAAAGATAGTAAAACTTGACCTCCTCCCATTTACTTTTCTTCACAATTTAAAAGTATTAGTTTCGGTCAGTTTATTAGACACGTTCATGTTCTCAATGGAGCCGCTCGACAGCGTGTCTTTAGGCGGCCATGTGTCAGTTTGTGCCACCAGGGGGACGCAGTTTAGAGTGCCCTCTTTAAATAGTGAAAATATCGCACTTTTATATTATTTACTAGACTTATCTTACTGCTTATACATACAACATTGTTTTTGATGTTTTAAAATAAGTACATGCTAATATCAGTATGCTGTACATTACGTTTTTTTTACCTTTGCAACATTTAAGAAACATTGTGTAATAGTAATAATCACTCATTTAAATGTGTGTGAGCGAAATTAGTAGAAACAGCAAGTTTAAAAAACATGTTTCTTGTATTGTCTTCCTTTTTTGGACTTACACTGCAAAAGGGATCTAAAATGAGCAAAAATATCTTTAATTAAGTGTATTTTCCATTAATTTGAGCAGGTAGATAAGATAATTTGCCAATGGAATTAATATTTTTGTGTCTTAAAATAAGACAATTAGATAATATGCGCTTGAAATAAGACAATGCAATTGTGTTTTCTCTTTTTTTTTTAATGGAAATTGTTTTATTCCGTGTCTCAATTACCTCCTCAATTCAAGAAAAAACTTGTTTAGATTTAAATTTTTTTGCAGTGTACTGTGTTGGGTTTAAATCGTCAAAGGCCTGCAGGTATAGTTTTAGGTGTGTGGATGTAGGGATTTCTAGAAATACATATGCACATAACATCAATCTATTGTAGTTTCATATGTAGAAATAACTTTTGGTCAGGGACCAACTCTCTCTGATGCCCACACACAGAAAATAAAAAATAAAAATAAAAAATTGTAACTAGCCCCTTCCTTGACAGCTTCTTCGCTATTTCTCTTTCAGGCCCGACTTCAGAGGAGCCTTGCTGTGCATCATCGACCAGCGACAGGGCTTCCCCTGTCATTTCAGAACCGATAACTGAGAGCAGCGATCATATCGACCATAAGACGGCCGACTGCAGCCCCACAGACGACACCGAGGACGCGTCAAATATAGGCCTACTGGACGCACGGCAAGACCCTGACGCACAGTCCGGTTCATACTCCGGCCGTAAGAAAAAGACTCGGACTGTGTTTAGCCGCAGCCAGGTGTTCCAGTTGGAGTCCACATTTGACTTAAAGCGCTACCTGAGCAGCTCAGAGAGAGCGGGCCTGGCTGCGTCCCTCCACCTGACCGAGACGCAGGTGAAAATCTGGTTTCAGAATAGAAGGAATAAATGGAAAAGGCAGCTGGCGGCGGACCTGGAGGCCGTGAACATCCCGAACCCAACCCAGCGGATAGTCAGGGTGCCGATCCTGTATCACGAAGGACAAACTCCCACCGGTGTTTTTGGTTTTTGCATAAACGGACATTCAGTTTCTCCCTCCTGGGCCGTCAGTCATCCTTTGTCGCCCTTTTCTCATCCTGTGAACAGGCTAAGCTCGCAGATGACTGCTTTGGTTTAAGACACCGCAAACTCACTCAGACTCACTCAGTTGATATCAATGTGCAATAAACCAAAAACACTGCAGGGAATCTGTTTTCTGGCTCCAAATATACGAAGCAAAGAATTTCAACTCTTAAGAAATTCTATATTTCTCTTCCTGAGGCTCTATAGCGTGTGCTGCAATCAGATAAGCTGGCAACAGCAGGCTGGATTTTCTGTGTGTTTAGATACACGTATTTTTGCAAAGTTTTATAGCCTATTTAAAGTCACACTTTTTTTTTTTTTTTTATCTTTGTCAATTTTTCACATAAAAATAAAAGAATATGTATATTGCAAAACTGTCCTTTGTTTTTATTGTGTTCTCATGATCCTGACCTAAAAACCCTAATGTCAGTGCAGCATTTAAAAAAAACTTCAAGAAAACATGTGCCTTAAAGTTATTTAGTTTATTAGTTTAATTCCTTAAAGGGGCTCTGTCTCGACACCTTAG